TTTTTTTCCATGCGTACAAGATCAAATAACATAATACTTGTTTTGTGTTGGTAGTGCACTCGTATCCTTTCAATTTATAGGTATTTGTAAAAGGCAATTTAGGGTAAAAATTCGCCAAATTACCAGGCTCATGATTTTCTACATGTATGAAGTGTTTTGTGAACTTTTTTATCTGTATTTCGTCTTCCTTTTTTTTCTATTGATCGAAGATGTTTCAGGTAGGACACTGCCTGGTCCGATACAATAAGGAAAACCATGGATTTATTAACTTAGAACAACATGAATGTATTGCCATGGTCCTCTCTTTCGCCGGATTTCATCCCCATGAAACATCTCTGGGACTAACTCGATAGACGCGTCATCACCTGCCAACCCTACCTGAAGCATTGGACCAACTCTGTCAAGCGTTTCAACATGAATGGTTACGGATACCAAAGATTTGATTACAAAAAAAATGATTCGATTCTCGACAAGGAGATGAGAAACATTGTAAGCCGGATTAGAGGTCACAATATATACTGTCTTTTATGTAACCCGAAATTGACCTAATTTATCGTATTTTACTTTTTTTCAAATTCTTCTTCAGCATTATATATGACATTCGTGTCAGAAAATATGACTCCACATATAAAGGTATTGCTGCAAAAAAATCGATTTGAAGTACACAGAATACAAATTGAATAAAAAAAAAACATGATGCGTTTTTTTGTTTTTTTAGCAGAGTGCAGTTAAATATTGAAAACCAATTTCAAAATGCAAGATGCAAATAGGTAAGATAAAATACTAAAAAAAAACACTATTCATACTGAAATACTGGTATCTTACAATCTTATGCATTGTTAACATCAGAATGATGACATTTCATTGATATATACTATTTTTGATTTTCGAATTCTATGCCGAACAAAGGCTCCAAAAACTCATCAAGGATATCATGCTTATAACTTTGTACACCAATCGCGTAATTCTGCTACATATGACTCATCAGTGAGGCCGAATCAAAACAGTTGGAAGGCTTAACCAAATACAACGAATAACATCAAACCCGAAAATTCTGAAAATTTGTGTCAAATAAAGGTAATGCAATCTTTACCTGACGATATAAGAAAACCCTGATGTCTCGAATAGTTCAACATTTTATAAACAGTTGATTAACAGAAAAATTAACATATCAATTATATTTCATGTTAACATAGAAGTGCTGACTACATGGCTTGTGACACCCTCGGGGATGAAACGTCTACCAGCATAGTCGTAGGCCCAGTGGTTGTGAAAACTCATCAAGGATACCAGGCTTATCATTTTGCACGGCAGACGCGCGTTTTCTCTACACAAGACTCACCAGTGATGCTCGAAACAATACAATTGGAAGAACAAATCAAATACGAAGTTGAAGAGCATTCTTCCCTTGAAAATTCTGAATAAAGTTGTATTGAATAAGGCAAAGACAATCTGAACCTCGGGGTAGAAAAACCTTGTGCAGCTTACAATGTTCTTCATCTCCTTCGCAAGAATGGAATCAAATTTTGTAAGTGATGACTACTACGCTGGTGATATAATCGGAGACGAAACGTCCACCAGCAGTGGCGTCGACCCAGTGCTTTTAAAAACTCATCAAGGATACCAGCCTTATAACCTTTGTACGGAAGACGCGAACATAACTTATTGGTTTTCTATTAAATGCGGTTATCAAAATCTATTATCCAAAAGACAAACAGTGTGACAAACAACAGTCCATTCAATCAATACACAGAAACCAGCCAAATATGTAAGGAAATTGAAGAACTTCATTCTTTTAATGCAAAACTTCAACAAAACTGCAAAAATAGCCTCATTTTAATATTTTGTAATTCATATTTAGATATCACTCAAAACTTAACCTCTTTTTAACAAGATTTTTTATACAAAGATGTAAATCTGCGTAATATATCTTTATGTGTAAAACCTTGGCTCATTTTTCATTTTGAAAGATCACACGTTTGTCAATTGCGACATATATATGACATAATAGTGTTTCACATTTGGCTTTTCTACACAAACGTGTCCAGATTAAAGCATCCTGCGTGAATTAAAAATATCATTTAAATAATCTAATTTTCAGTTTAAACATTCAGACATACTCTTTCCTTTGGCTTTGAAACTTAATTAATGTTAGAATCAAAGTGAGACGATTATAAAACTGAATTTGATGAACATTCCTGAATTTAACTTTTTTATAAAAACTCACAGCTAAATTTAGCAAAAGGGTTGTGAAAGGAACAATTAATAACCAAAAGGGGACTAAAAGAATAACCCAAATCTTATTGTATAGTCAATTATTCTAAGGAAGTGGCCTTGTTCGTCTTTTAAAAAAATAAATAGATGAAAATGTTTGTCGGTTATTGTTTCGTACATAAATCAGGCCGTTAGTTTTCGCGTTTGAATTGTTTTACATTTGTCCGTACGATAACCTATTGTTGTAAACTTCTACGGCATTGGGTCTCTGGTGAAGAGTTGTCTCGGTGGCTGTCATACCACATTTTTAAAAATATTTATATATAGTAAATCACAGTTATTGTCGACTACTGAGCGGATGACCCTTACCGTCAAACAGTGGTATAAAATCAGTATATGAAAGAACGTAAATAAAGGCAACAGTAGTATACCGCTATTCGAAATTCATAAATCGATTGAGAAAAAAACAAATCCGGGTTACAAACTAAAACTGAGGGAAACACATTAAATATTAAATGTTAAAACGTACCTGTTTGCTTACCAAACAAGCTTCGTGTAAGCTTCAGAATGGATTAAAGTTTAGATAAAAGAAAATTTGAAAGTATAACTGTTTTGTCTAATATTAAAAAAATCCGTTTGATGTGAATTCTAAATATTATAAGGCAAATTTTGAATTTTACGTTCTTCTTAGTCAATTTAGATCCACTGATACAAAATAACTGCATTGAAAATCTTGATTTACCTAACGCATGAGCACACTGAGCCAAAAGTTAGGTACCTTAATAGACGTTAGTACCTCCTGAATAAAAAGATTTGATAAGTAAATCTGAACTCATTTTTGTCCAAAAAATTTGCACCGATATTTGTGCATTCATGATAAAAAAAAAGCATCTACAAGTTGATAGGAATAAAAACTTGATAAAGTAGGCAATTCCCCATTTCCATTCTCAATTTTAATTGCCGAAACATTGACACTGGACAGAGAATACCCGCACAAACAGGAAAAACAAACAGTAAATAGAATAGTAAAAACGTCGCATATTTCTATCTTTATCAGGTACTAGTAAACTATTTTTGAACTGAAACAGCTATTTCAAACTTATGAGCTCTGAAGAGACTGCATAATAAATTGTTAAGTTATTTTCATTCTTTTAATTAGTTTCCAGACTAATCTACTGCGGTAAATTCAATACTATTCAGACAATTCGCTCGCAGTCAAGTAAGACCTGTTTATTGAACAGCGGTATACTACTGTTGCCTTTATTTAGTACATGTTCAGAATATTCAGAAGCTAGTATCCACAACTTTCTGAATTGTCTGAAAATGTACTGAATTCAAAACAAGAATAAATATGAAAAACAAATTAAACTCTTAACAAGACTTGACATTTTTAGTTTAAGACTTTTAAGATGATATTAAAATCAAAATGACCGTTTAAGAACAAATCTAATTTACTAGTGATGGTCACTCACAATCCAAAACTGAAAAAATAAAATATGTATGAATACACGGATAGCAGAACAAAAAAATGAATAACAGAAACAACAGAAACAACAGAAACGTTGCAGGGTACACACACATTAATGGGATGGTAACTGTAAATATTCATCAAAGATACCAGGCTTATTATTTTGTTCGTTTCGTATATAGAAGACTGATATGTGGAGCTTGAATTAACAGTTGGAAGTCTAGATTAAATACGAAGTAAAAAGCATTGAAAATAAAATTATCTTAAAAAGTGTGGCAAATATGGTCAAGGATATCTATGCCTGGGGTAGAAAACCTGAGTGGTTTTGAATAATCTAATATTTTTTACTCTTAACTTATAGAAAAAAAGAAAAAAAGTAATACGTAAATAACCAAGTAAAGTACATTTTTACCTTTTATTTTTCATGTGCATGTTTAGTTTTAGCTTAAAGTCAGGCTAATTTCCCTACTAACCTCTATGATTATCTCTCGAATAGTTTTAAAAACATTAATAATTTGTTATATAATTTATTTACCTCATTTCAAAATGACCAATCGCAATTGCTGAGTAAAGGGGGACAACTACTGTAATAAAATAAAACATTTTGTCTTTATATATTTTAAAATAAATTATTCAATTCTATAGTTCTTGTACACTACAGTACCTATCTAGCTTTTTATTGCTACCAAAAATATGTCATAAAAACACGTTTCAATGAAGAATAAGCTGTACTATAGTAAACCAGATAAAAATAACGCAGCTTGAATTTTCGCATAGTTTCGTAAGACTTTATTATAATATAGTGTTATCTATCAAAAAAACAAATCTTTATTTCGTAATGGCTACATGCCAAAGGTAGGAAGTTGTGCTACTGAAGGAAAAAAACGAGACCCTTTCGAAGACAAATATTAATTACAAAAGTATTCAAGTTTTAGTTCAGTGTTCGTGTATTTTGGAGATCTATGTCTGTTTCTTTAATTATATACATATTAAAAGAAAGCGATCAACTGTGTCACCATTAACGGTCTTGCATGATCTTTTTTTTATTATAGTTTGAATATTGAATTACTTGTAAGGTGTATGACAATAATACTTACTATTGAAAACAATATATATTACGTCATATCATATCGTCTAATAATACTGTTTATACTAAAGGTTCATGTATTATAGGTTTAATGTCATTTGCAACGTTTTTGCAGACATGCAAGCAAAACAAAGTGTTTTGGGTTACTCGTACCTTAAAGGACAAAATATTCTGACTTGTATCCCGTTTCTCAATTCAAGAGACACATTGAACAACAAAAAATAATACAAATCAAGTTTAATACTTTATTTTACAATTCTAAACGTAAAACACGAAATAACAAATAAAATGTTTCATAGATTAAAACCTCTTCTTTCAGTTTCAATTTATTTCAGTTGTGTCTATATTGTAAGCTCTATCGTTGTGTGAAAATTAAAGTTTGATTTAACTATTTTGAATACTTTTCCCGCCTTGTTTTGTCGTAAAAAAAACCAAAGGCTTGCTTAATTTGAGATCATGCTAAATGTCCTCAACGTCCTTAGGGGAAAATCCCAACAGTAAAGAATTAGTGCAGTGGTGAAAAAATTTGTCAATAACCACCTCCAAATCTTTGCACTAGATATTGTTTCATTGATAGAATTGATGCCAGGTGTTATCAAACGAATGTGAGCTGTTCTTTTTTTTTATGTTGTTTTGTTTAGTTGGTTTTTTCCCTTCATTTTGGTGGGGGAACGTAGTTTTGCAACATTTTGATGAAAACTGCAAAAGTGTAAAAACAGCCTCATTTTCAGATCCTGTCATTAATATTTCGGTATGTGTAAATGCTTTACCAAAAATAAATTTAGGAAAGGCTTTGACTCGTCTGCACGAATCGCAAATGTTTACATCCATGCCTTGTGAATCAGTAACAAATCCTAAATGATACTGTAAATATAAAAAAAAACCTATGTGTAAATTATCGAAGTCAGTTTTGAGATGTTGTTGACGTAATAAGCATTCACAACTCACATTTCTGCCTTGAAGTGTCCAGATTAAATCCTTTTATTCAATTATGAAATCAATTTACCTAATTTTGAAATGGCTAGAGAATTTGCTACTTTTGTAATTTTAGGGGCCAAATTATGTTTTTTTTTTTATCTTCGTTGAAATGAAATTATTATGCGTTATTGAAGCGAGAATAGTTGTGATTGCATCGATCAAAGCTCTATACATAATCTAAGTTACTGACTACACGTTCATCGGGATCAACCGATCGTACATAACTACGACCATGTGAACTGTTACGAGTATTGATATCATCTCGCCCTATATCCTCAGGCACAATTGATATCCTACTCTTGATAAACAGGCCTCTATTATCATTGGGTGTCTTTGATTGGTCATTTTTCAATACTGGATGCATTATTTTTGACGACATTCGTGAATTATTGTTTACAGAATTCCTTTCGGATTTAATTGAATTTCTTGAATCATCATTTCTCACATGTTTTGTATCACATCTTGTGGATAACCTGGATTCGTCTTTTGTTGGACTTTCCTTGTCCATTTTAGTGTTCGTTCTAGAGTTTTGTATCGAAGGGCTTTTCTCTTCAGGATGCACTGAAAGTCTACTTGAATTATTTGGATAAAATGAAAACTTTGTTGACATTCTAGATTCCGGTTTTGCAATTTCACCAATTGTATCTTCTTTTTCATCTGATTCAAGGTCCTGAATTGTAAGAACACGTTGTTCATTGTGAATACGACTATTATTTCTATTATTTGCATTGTTAATTGCAACTAATCCTAATGGAATATTTGTATTCATTCCTGAAACAGTATTACTATTTCTGGAATAAGATGGCTCTATAATTGGCGCAGGTACAGGAGGTGAAATGGAAGGCGAAGGACTATCAATAATTGTCACTTCTGGTTGTATGTCGTCTGTATGAAATGAACCGCGACTTTCTATTATAGAATTTCTTGTCCTACTCCTCTGTCTGTCCTCATGACGTGTACCTATTCTTGAATAATATGCTGGTGGTGGAGTATTTGGATATGGGGGTGGAACATGTCTGTTTTGTTGTGTCGGTGCCGGTGGCTGCTGTGATGTATTCGTATCTGTTTCTTGGCCATGGTAATGTGGAGGCTGTGATGTACCTTCAACTAAATATGATTAAACTAACTTAATATAAATCTAAACTTCATCAAACGTCCATTCAATGCAATCGTTTTTGAAAACTCTTTGCATGAATAATGTTTATATGTTTTGCGTAAAATTGAGTTCTATGGTTGTCGTCGATACGAAACTGCGATTGTCGAACGTTCTCAATCAGATCATTTGCCATAATAAACATAAATTTATTACATTCAATAGCATCGAGCATATATAAACAGAATATTCATCTTTCATACTTATTAGAAAACTTATTGTATTGGTTCCTACATATATAATTTACAGTGTTTGTTCTGTTCTTTGTGCTACAAAAATATTGTGTCACATACATCTTAAATTTCTGTTTAATGTTATTTCGTTGCTTCGTTTTTTGTTCAATTGTGTACCCTTTGTTTGCTTTACATCATATTTGTTTTTCGTATTTTTATGTTATTTGGTCTCTGGAGGAAAGTTGTCTCATTGGTAATCATACCACATCTTCTTATTTTTATATATGTATATATAGTTAACATTTCCACCTACCCTCTTGTCCTGTAACTTGAAAGGGATCCCCATTCACAAAAGGGTCCATCATAAGTCTCCTCTGTCTTTCTTGGTCTCTCTCCCGCTGACGCCGACGCCTTTCCTCTAGTCTCTGACGAAGTTTCTTTTTCTTCCGGTATCGACATATTACACAACATAAAATTACTACAATGATAGTAACGATTGTACCTCCAATAAAGACTGACACCAAGATAAGTGTCAATGTTGGTATACAACACCGTGTGTCACCTGTACCGTCACTTGGTATGCAGCAGCCTCCGACAGCACACGATTCTGTATCATAATTTCCATTTAATGCACCACTACATTCTTTACTCAAACAAAAGCCTACAATTTGTATATGGAAATGAAACATAAAATGAAATAGGAAGTTTAATTATATTGAAGATCAGACTGATTGCCCTGGTATCTGCTTTCTCTCTTATCAAATATAAATGTATAACACATACATATATTCAGGACAAAATATGCGCATTTTTGGATAACCGTTATCATTCACATAGAATAACCTTTATCATGTACTTAACGTTTTAAAAGGCAGATGCACACACTTTAAGGTTTCATTGCTGATGACAGCACCTGTAATTTTCCATTTTTTTAACCTGCTCTGTCTTATCAATTTTTTTTTCCTATAAGTATTGATACTGTTTGTTTTGTATTTTTTAAAATGTCTACCTGGTTCTCATATTTTATTAGGTTACAAATCCCTAAGACATAGTTACATAACGAGATTTTTTCAAAGTATTTAGTATTTAGTATTCACTTTTTTAAGTATTTAGCGTCCTTCCCTCGCCTATATCATCCTGCTCAGTGGCTCAGTTATTCTTGCATCAGGCTTTCCGAAGTGAGCAAACATCAGCGAGAAGAAGTTATCAGCGACGTCACAATGTGTGAGGAGACGTTACCATGCTTACTTTTGTTCAGCATAAAACGGCCTAAAGGAGGCAGAATAGAACAGTAATAGAACGATAAACAGATTATAGGCTTTTCTACGTATAGATATCGGAAAATATCAGCTGCTTAAAGAATGTGAAGCCAGGTTCACATTGTAGCTCGCTGCAGATATTTTACAATATCAATGGGTAGAAAATCCAATAATCTATACTTATTATCACTGGTTTTGTAATTTACGGGGTTTGAGCGTTCCTGATGAAGGTAAATCTAGAAAAGCGCTTTGTAAGCATGAAATTTATTAAGTGTTGTTTTCATTACGTAATGTACCTCAAGTTAACTGGGGAATAGAAATAAGGTCACGTTATGTCTTCTTCCGACCGGCAGTAAAACCTTTTCAAAAGTGGGTCGTCCGTTTGGCTGTGCGGGATGTACAAGTACGTAGCCATGTTCGGTCAGAATGGGGACGTTAAATCCGACGCCTCGTGTACAGAGACTGCCACGCTCTCTGTAAGTTAAGAACTCTTTTAACAACTCTTTGAGGGGTCCGTAGTTACTTGTTACAAGGCAAAATTTCTGTCCCTATCAAATAAACCTTCATTTTCCAGTGGCAGTCTTAATTTTCTTGAACTTTATCCCGGACGACATCTATAACAGGACCTACCCATTGTTTGTATTGTTAATTTGTTCTCGTCCTGAACATGTATGAATAATTTGCCACTAGACGTTAAATAACCAACAATCAATCAATCGTTGTGTAATCGAAATTGGTATCATTTACAATAACATTTTGTATTATTTTATACCTATATGTATATTAAATCCTTCATCTCAAAGGATATACAATTATAATATATACCGTTGTGGGATAAATGTTTTGCATCATTGTAGAATTATAATATCAAGCATAATCTACACATTATGTTTGCTGACTCATTCCTCGAAATCTCGTTTTAACGGTGAAACCGGAACATTCTGTTATAGTAAAAAGTAAAATAACAAAAATACTGAACTCCGAGGAAAATTCAAAAAGGAAAGTCCCTAATCAAATGGCAAATTCAAAAGCTCAAACACATCAAACGAATGGATAACAACTGTCATATTCCTGACTTGGTACAGGCATTTTGTTATGTAGAAAATGGTGGATTGAACCTGGTTTATAGCTAGCTAAACCTCTCACTTGTATGACAGTCGCATCAAATTCCATTATATTGACAACGATGAGTGAACAAAACAAAGACACAATAGGTAAAAAAGTCAAAAATAGAGGTACAGCAGTCAACATTGTGTTATCATCTTAATCACTATAAAAACAAACAAATGTAACGAAGAAGCACAAAAAGGCATACATCAAATTTAACATCCTCATTTTGCTTTTTTGTTATACGATTTTATTTATCTTTGTAAAATCCACCCATAAAGGATGGAAGGTTTTAAGTACTGACGTAAAATCGCGCGTTTGAAATTCGCACAGGTAGACATAAAATAATTTTGTCGTTCAAAGTATGACGGGATACATAATTACAGAGTCACGTCAAATGTATATCACATAAAACAGACTTAACAGTAAAAGTAATATTAATAAATAAAATAATTTTGTCGTTCAAAATATGACGGGATACATAAGTACAGAGTCACGTCAAATGTATATCTCAAAAAACAGACTTAACAGTAAAAGCAATATTAATAAAGACAAATAAAAGAATACTATAACACGTTATTAAGATGAAAAACAACGTCAGTACACAGAATCTATACTTCAAGACCATCGTGTATTATGTGAAGTTGATACGGAATATTTAGCAACAAGGTCTTGGTACCTTCCGATGAACATTTTTTTAGAAAAAGGACCAGACGTTCTTTGACATACCCCTGGTTCATCAACTTTCTGCTCAGACACTGGTGACGCTTTACAAAGTCTGAGTAGGAACTGCAAGCTCTTGAATACCGTATAAGTTGGGAAATGTATATTCCATATGCAGGTGAAGTTGGTATATTGCTACTAAGGTAGGGGAAATTGATAATTTCAAAATTAAAATCGTCTCGTTTGTCATAGATTCTGGTACTGAGATGACTGTGTATGTCAAATTCGAGTCTAAAAATGAGGCGGAGGAAGCCGTGTCTGTTGTTTCTTTAATTTCTAGTTCTGGTGGATATATTAACGGAACCCAATCAGAAAAGTTCGGATTGTTAATGGAAAGAACATCATCAATATATCTGAAAGTGAAATTAAATAATCTGGCTTCTTTGATCTTCTTGTTTTTGACAAGTGTCTGAAGGAACTCCGATTCATATGAAAATAAGAAGAGGTCGGCAAGGAGAGGCGCACAGTTCGTTCCCATAGGAATGCCGACAATTTGTTGAAAAAGTCTACCTCCAAATTCAACAAATATGTTTCAATAAGAAACTCCAGCATACTGATCACATGTTCCTCTGTGAAGCATGTTTTACCCTTTTGTTCACTATTAACAAAATATGCCTTATGGTATCCCAAAGTTATAAATTTATAGCATATGCTACCATTTTTATGTTGAAAAGCATTGTGGATTATTTCTTTTAGACGGTTTTTCAATTTCACATGGGGAATGGTGGTATACAAGGTTGAAAAATCTAAAGTTTTGATAGATAAAATTGAGAATGGAAATGGGGAATGTGTCAAAGAGACAACAACCCGACCATAGAACAGACAACAGCAGAAGGTCACCAACAGGTCTTCAATGCAGCGAGAAATTCCCGCACCCGGAGGCGTCCTTCAGCTGGCCCCTAAACAAAAATATATACTAGTTCAGTGATAATGAACGCCATACTAAACTCCAAATTGTACACAAGAAACTAAAATTAAAAATAATACAAGACTAACAAAGGCTAGAGACTCCTGACTTGGGACAGGCGCAAAAATGCGGCGGGGTTAAACATGTTTATGAGATCTCAACCCTCCCCCTATACATCTAGCCAATGTAGAAAAGTAAACGCATAACAATACGCACATTAAAATTCAGTTCAAGAGAAGTCCGAGTCTGATGTCAGAAGATGTAACCAAAGAAAATAAACAAAATGACAATAATACATAAATAACAACAGACTACTAGCAGTTAACTGACATGCCAGCTCCAGACTTCAATTAAACTGATTGAAAGATTATGTCTTCATCATATGAATATCAGGCACAATCCTTCCCGTTAGGGGTTTAGTATCATACCATCAAAACATATATGAGAAGAACATAACCCGTGTCATGCCAACAACTGGTTTTTAAATAAATGTGTTTAGTGCCGATGCAAAGACCCTATAAGTGAATCAATATTAACGCCAAAATACGCAATCTTTAATGACCTGACAACAGTATCGTAACTATATCCCTTCTTAATAAGTCTATTTAAAGGTTTTGTTAGCTTCAGAGGTGAATACTGACATTTTTGTGCTTTATAAAGAATATTTCCATAAAAAATTGGATGTGAAATACCTGAACGTATAAGAAGTCTGCATATTGAGCTATATTTACGAATGATGTCCTTATACCGATGATAAAATTTAGTAAATGTTTTGACTAGTTTGTGATATCGAAAACCCTGGTGTAATAATTTTTCAGTAATACATAATAGAACTGATATCAGAAAAAGACCGAGATTTAAAATTATCCAGAAGTTCTTTAGAGTTTTTAAGAATCCACATATGGTTAATACCACTACGCGAGTAAACAGTTTCACAGTATTTCTGAAGACCCTCTTTCACTGCGGACAGAATTTTAGTCAATCAAATGGACAATTCTTTGGTGAAACATGCAGATGAGCCGGCAATGTACCGTTGTTTGTACGGAATTTTGTTAAGTTTAGGTATCCAATACAAACAAGGTAATGCCTCCGATTTGTTGTTCAAATCGTAAATTTGGCAACTGCCAGGCGGATAAATTATATCAAATACTGTCGCTATCTTTTCATGTGATGAGCTGTAATTTGGTTTGTTAAGAAATAAAGATATATGAATATATATCTATTATGACTGTATAATATGCTATCCATTTGTTTTTGTTGACTAAAGATACACATTACCCACTCGCTATTGTAAATTCTAATGAAATTAATTTCAGTACAATAAACCTTCATGTATACCTCAACATTTAGATATGGGTTCTTTTTTTGTCAGACAACAGACATACAATTTTATGTTCGGTCTTTGTTTTTATTTTAATGATATTTCTATGAATATTGAACGAACTAAGTGATAACAACTAACCTGCAAATAACAAAAGGAAACAAAATACTGTTTCCAAAATATTGCTGAATCTATATGAATTACTCATAATATGCATCCATTATATATAAATCGTTCTATAAAAACTAGATTTTCGACCCGACATTAAAAAGTATGAACACTCTTTGTTTGGTTAATCTACCCAACAATAATCGTGAGTTAAAACAAAAGCTCCTATGAGGCGGGAAAGTAAAACATAATGTGCTCCAAGACACCGTAAAAGTTTGTTGTATTTATAAATACATGTTTTGGATTCGTTTTTCAAAAAAACATACACATCTGTCATTTCTTTTTACCCATATCCATGTTTTTTTTCACAACATTTTAATCTTATTTAAGTGATAGAATGAACAAATCGAATACAGAATTTTACAGTTTGACAAAGGTGTTTTTATTGTATATCTCAAAAGTATATTGAATTGATTGAAAGATTAAGTTAAGTTTTGATTTATATTACAATGAACACCTCAAAAGGGACAGTAACGTAAACATGTTTACATACGAAACATAATAAATACACAACTCATATGCATGTCATTTTAACCTCATTTATAATTTTGAGCTTCACTGTTTTTCGTTTATAAATGTATTTACAAATATCATGTGGTATAGAATTAGGAATAGAAAGATTTTTGTGAAAATACATAGAGATATTATGATAGCATAATACGCCTATGTTAAACACATCTATCCCATCGAAGTTGAAATAAATGATACAACAGATACAGTTAAGACTTAAAAATACATATCTGGACTTACTTGATATTTTAGTCTTAGATACATGATTTTTTTAATTAGTTGTTATTGACTTTGAACTAGCTGTCAGTAACTTAGAGTACTGTCAGATCTGTACTTGGTGATTTTTCTGTTTGTTAGGGATGAGGGATGGATATATACCCTGCCACGTCCTGTCTGTATTTTTGTTTGATGTTTTTCTTTGTGTCGATCTGATGAGTTGAGCCTTTTTCAACTGATTTTTATAGTTTGTTCTTATGTTGTGCTGTTGCACTACTGTCCCAGATTAGAGGTAGGGTTCAGCGCTCACAAACATGTTTAACCCCGTCACATTCTTTGTGTGCCTGTCCCAAGTCAGGAGCTTGCAGTTCAGTGGTTGGCGTTGGTTCATGTCTATCATATTTGTTTTTCGTTAATTGTTTTGTTATAAATTAGGCCGTTAGTTTTCTTAATTGAATTGTTTCATATTTTTCATGTCGGGGCCTTTTATAAACGACTATTCGGTATGGGTTTTTCTCATTGTCGAAGGCCTTACTGTTGCCTATAATTGCTTAGATCCACTTCATTTGTACCTTGGTGGATAATTGTTTCATTGGCAATCATACTACATCTCCATATTTTTATATTACATGTAGGAATTGACAATAAGGGTTGGTTGAGAACAAAACTTTACGACAAACGAGATGATTTCAGCTACCCAATTGTGAACTTTTTATTTCTTTGTAGCAATATTACAGCAGCGCTTGCATTTGGAGTATATATCTCCCAGTTGATACAATATGACATTGTGACATACCGAATTAGACTTATCACCGGATTTGTACATAAATGAGTATCACGAAGGGTGTAACATGTTGAGCCGAATCTGCTTACCTTTCCGGAGCAAATGAGATCACCTCCCGTTTTTGTATGGTGGTAGTTATTCGTTTTTCCCATGGCATTGTCAGTTTGTTTTCGATATGCGAGTTTGAATGTCAATTTGATACCTTTTGCCTCTCTTTTTCAATGTTGACATGTTTGAGAGAGGATCTCAAGGAAGTGATGGAAGAAAAAGATTTTTCTTCTTAACATTTTCAAACTTTTTTTTTGCTGATATCGTCCTCGATTTTTTATATATTACTTGTCTATATGTTAATATGCATCTCTTATTGTGCTAAGTTTCGCATCTAGTCGATTTTTTGTGGCAAAATGTAGTAATGTATAAATGAATGATATTTAACACTACAGGTTTGGTGCTATTCAGCAACACTGAGGGCACTACTTATAATGTAAGAATGACTCTTATTGTATTTATTTTTAATATCCATTGGTAGGAACATACTGTACTCAGAGTAAATTTTCAGGTGAAAACACAGCCATTTTATCCAAAGGGTCAATACGAACCATAAGATAATATAGCATATACGTTAGTCACCTAATTGTTTAAATATTAACTTCGGTATCTGACGTATATCGCATACATATATTATTAGTTACATAGTGTGCTAGTGACCTAATACGGTATATATGGGGTCAGTAAATTCCATACGGGGTGAGAGCGAAGCTCGAATCCCCATATGGAATTTACTGACCCCATATATACCGTATTACGTCACTAGCACACTATGTAACGAATTTATCTTACCGACTATCTTAACGTGTGAAATTTAGACTAGTGACCTATCAAAATGAGCAAGTCTTCAATACCGTTAGCATTAAGAAACTACTTCCATTGATCCTACAAAAAAAGATGCCAACAATAACAACTTGTTATGTTTAAATGTGTTTTATGAATTTATTTCAATCTTCATCATCAATTTCTTCGTCTGTTGTAACCGTTAAGATTTTTTCTCAGTACCGTTTTGTTTTTATAAAGGGACGTAACACCACTACTAACCGTGTATGAAATAAGCCCCGCCTCCCTACTAACCTAATATGGAATATACACGGTCTCCACGCGGACGCTTTTAACCAATCATATTCCTAGAAATGTATAGGAGGTAAGATAATTGGTAATGTTTAGTTACCTTTTTATCGAGATGTATTCTGGCAAACGGGAGGCAATCCAATTTGAACAGTTGGACTGATACTTATGTAAAGTAAAAAGTAAATCGCTTGTGTATCTTTGTTTACTTATGGTTTATCATAAATAAACTCATCATGAATACCAACATTTTGTACGTCAAACGCGCGTTTCGTCTACAAACGACTCATCAGTTAAGCTGGAATAAAAAAATAAAAAATGACAAATAAAGTACGAAGCTGAAGAGTTATTACAAGGGGTGTTTAACAACATTGACTTCCCATGAGGGTCTTGCACGGTCGGAAAAAATACAGCGAAAGTAATCAACTCCTTGGGTAGAAAATTCTAAGCAATTTCGAAAAATTCAAAGTTTTGTAAACAATTGATTTATAGTTTAAATAAAGTACGATGTTAAACAGCTTTGAGGACCCAAAATTCTAAAGTTCTTGCAAAATACAGCTATGGTTATCTATTCCTGGGATAGAAAATCCTTAGTATATATTACTTCGATATATTGATAGCTAACCACTGTAGAATAACTTGTTTGCTTGACTTAAAGTCGTGTTTTCTTAAAATCTAACAATAGTGTCAGCCTTCATGTCAAGGATGAAATTGAATGGTTGCTATCTCGATAACTTCGAATTTAATGAACATTGTCGAAACTGAGATCTTGTTCCGGTTTTCCAGTTGTGTTCTATCTGTTTGATTTAACTTTGCAACCATTGCAGTTTTAGTCAGGTTAGAAATCTTCAACATAAATTTAAGACTTTAAAATCAACATAATTTTCCTCGGTTGATTGTTTGTAATACCGCAGTTTTTCGGCTCCTTATCCTTTGTTTTTGCATTTGATTTAAACAATTCAAATAAAGTTATGATGTTAGTGTTTCTGTCTGACACCATTGCGATAAGCTTGGCAAAATTATTAGGTGGAACCTAATTTCATCTTCAGAGTCAGACCTTTCTCAGGTTCTATATTTTTCAAGGCATTTATTACCCTTCAGTCAAGTATCCACATACATAGTAAAGTAACTACGTAATCCTTTCAATAGTATATCTAAGCATGGAAGTAACGTTAATATAATACTTCGATGATCTTAGGCCGTGATCACATTGAGCTAAACTCGGTGTGGTGTAAGTGTACTCGACACTTCAACTAAACTCTATTACGTTCCCATTGATAAAAATCAATGTTTACATGTAGTTTAAAACAGGGTTTCACTACATGCAGTCGAAAGTCAATGTAGACCTTGTTTGAATTAAGTGTACACTGAACTAGATATTGTGAACGTTGATTTTATTATGAATATTTAAGGAAGTTACATATATTGAATAAAAATAATTATAATAATATTATGAATTAAGTAATTTACCTATCTATATGACAAAAATTAAAAAAATGCTCAGTTAAAAACATTTAATTAAAAGCTGTGTGGACCATTTTGATTTTCGGGGCGGGGGTGGATTGTTTGCTGCTAGAATATTCGTTTTACACCGATTTTTAGTACAGTTTATTTTTTTTAGTGCGAAAATTATTTTCAGTTTTTGTACACAACTATTTCTTGCAAAGTTCTGCATTTTGTAAGACAAAATATTTATTTTCATTATGTCTTGGACAAATTATTTTTTACAGTAACTTCAAGTCCAGACTAGATCTATTCATTTCCAAAATCACCCCATGGTCACTTTGGTCTTCTTTCGATTGGCCGTAAAATTCTCGCTAAAGTGAGCCGTCCGTTTGGCTGTGCGGAATGTACAAGTACTCAGCCATGTCTGGTCAGAATGGGGACATTAAGCACGATGCCTCGTGTAGGGTGTGCGCCACGCTCTCTGCACGTTAAGAACCTTTGCAACTACTCTTTGAGGAGTCCGTAGGTGGCCTGTTGCAAGGCAAAATTTCTGCCCCTATTCAATATACTGTCATTTTCCAATGGCGCTGCAAATTGCCCCGATGTTCATCTCGGACGACCTCTATTACAGGACCTACTTATTTTATTTATTGTGAATTTGTTATCGTCCTGAAAAGGCCTGAATTATTTGTCACTGGACGTTAAGCAACCAACAATCAATCAATCAATCATTTTCAAAATCCCTTTTTCTCCCTATTATTACACTGTTTTAGCTTGCGTAATCGTGACATTACTAGTATTAGAACTTTCAAAGTTATATACGGTAACGACCATTCATCTTCGTGGGACAAGCCATTTTTTATTACATTAATAAAAGAACAACCAATTGTTTTTAATAACATACAGGAACAACTCCATGTTGAAACCCTCGCTCTTCTTCCCTCATGAAACAAATATGTTTTTTTCTTAAAAAAAATGTATTTAAACAATTTATCTACCCCCCCCTCCCCCTCCCCCTTTAATTCCTAAAATAAAATATTGAAAAGCTAAAAAAATATTTGAATTGGTCTGCGCCAAAAAAATGTTTACAGAGGAAATTTTAATTCAATTATATGTAATGTACATGTACATTACGTGTACATGTTGTTTACTGGTGTGAACAATTGTCATGTACAGGTAATTAAAACCGATGTACAGATGAGAACAAATTTAATGTTAAACCAGTGTTCAATACATGAAACTAATTGTAAACAGGTTTACAGTACGCGACGTTTGGTGTGAACACGGCCTAAGTTTGTTCATGTACATGTAAATATTAGTCCAATAACATATGACTTCACATTCTTATTAATTTTTTTACGTTTTTATACTGATATTTTCATTTTATTTTTTTAATGCGATGTGGCACATTGATAGAAAAAAATAGTAAAATAAGTAAAAAGAAAATATCAATAATAAATAGAAATAGAAAATAATGCCCCCGAGGTCATATGATATAGGACTAACGTAAATGTCTCTCGTTACTTTTGTCACAAGTTTTTGTTTGTCTTGTCGCTTTTGAGTCTAGTTTTTTAAATAAGTTTATATTATTTCATTTTGTTAACTTTATTTCATGTCATAACATGGAGATGATAGAAACCCGTAATGATTTGATTGATATGATTTTGTCAATTATTGAAAGATCTTATAAATAAATACAGTTTGTGCTTCGAATAAAAAAAAGAAAATGTACAATTACAATCAAGTATTTAAGAATATGGTATTTATGAAATTCGGGACAATCATAGGTACAAGATGAATGATAACTAAATCATCCTTCGCTTTACTGGATACAAAATAAAAGTATACTGCAAAGATGGTAATATTGCTTGGTCGGCTATATGCTCCTTCCTGAAACTTCAGTGAAACCTCGTTCCAGAATAGTAAACATATTCCTTCAATGATAAAAATCGCGGTTCAGAGATTGTGAAACAACCTATAATTGGGTTGGTGAATACCAAACGTGAATTCTGTTATTGATTGATGCTCGAAATGTCTAAATCCGAGCTAATTTAGTTTGGAGAAAACGTGTTGGTCTCTTTGTCGAATTTTGTTTTATTTTAATAGGGTGCTATCTCAATTACATATACCCAAAATCACTATCTATTCATAACAGTTTTAAAAATAGTTTACATTACTTTACATCTATTGAATATCTGTGTCTCAGTTTATTATGGATATGTCTTTTGTGATAGCCAAAACGTATTAAAGGAATTTTACCACTTGTAAAGTTTTAAAAGAATATTGCACTTGAAAGATTTTATCGATTTAAGTATTCATTGTTAGACATTGTTCTTTTTTATATTCAATTATAAAAGACAACAATGCAATTATCTAGATACAGCAACTTCTTTTATTTGAGATATAATATTATTGACAATGTCCATATGTTTTAATGAAGATTGAATTAGAAAGAGATACGAGTTTATAACATTTAAAACATTTCATGAAGAGTTTCATACCGCAAACAAAAAGTGTCCTTAATTTATGTTCTTTAATTGAATATATCGTTCAAAATTTCTGTTTTAATCGTTTAAAGTTTATATTTTTCAAATATTTTCAACCGATACAAACAAAGCCATACGAATTTAACAGTAAGCCCAGTGTTCTTGATCATCAAATCTGCACGGTTAAAATATAAATATTAATACAATTTGTATGTTTTCACATTTTTCTGCTGCTTTTTTCTGTTTTCGTTGTATTTATCGACACTTATCGCAGAAAGATGTGTCTGTGCATTGACTTTGTAGATCTATTTCTACATTTCATTTTAATACGGTTTTAACCAACAACAAAAAAGACTCGCAGAGTTTTTAATTATGTTGTTTCATCCGAATGTATTAATTGGCTTTTATGATAATGTCTTCGTGAATTGTAAAAAATTGACGGATATTTGTTGAACATAAAATTAGTCAGTAACACCTGGTAGTGGTAAATGTGTTTCGTAGGCTGGTGGGGGATGAGATGGATAACCATAGTTTCGTGGTGAATACGCTGGTGGAGCAGGAAGTCTGTAAGGTCGTCTGGTGTCTTCGTCTGTAATATAAAAAAATAACACTAATTTGTTAACGAAAACCGAAGCAAATAAAACGACTTCTTCATTTGAAGTTATTTACAACATGGAAACACTAACGAGTTTTTTTTTTACAGAGCTTTTAATACGGTTGTCAAATTGGTGTTTGATAATCGGATATAATGGTTTCTTCTGTATGTTTATTTTTCTTCACTTTTATTGTTGGGTTGCTTGCTGTTTGATTAACGTTTACTCATCTCTTTTCACTCATACTTTTAATAAAATATTTTTCACCATATAGCGGATGGAATAAAACGAAGCTTGTGAAGCCACTCAAAAAAAAAACTTGTACATGAAAATTCAAAACGGAAAGTCCCTTATCAAATTGCAAAATCAAAAGCTCAAATAAGCTTATGTGTTTCGTAGGCTGGTGGGGGGAGGGGAGGGGGGTAGAGATGGATAATTACACCAGAAACTCTACACAAAAATGTACGACAAAAATGATGATTTGTATTTCCCTATTGTTAATTTTCCTTTTTTGGACGGTGATGTTCCTTTGGCACCGTCTTACCGTCTTACGGTGTTTATATATAAGAACTCGTTCGCTATGCCAATGTCTGTAGTGACATATTACTTAAAACCTTTAGTAAATTCTTCCATAGATACAAAGATTTGGATTGCAAGTTTGGCTGTGTCTGCAGAAAACTTGTTTTGAACGGAATAGCACATCCTTAATTTTACGGTGATTTTGTTAACCGAGCCCGGAAATTTAGATCGACCCTGGTAAACTTATCAATACTTTAAGTAAACTTGTTCTAAAAGGTTACCATTTTAACACTGAATATTGTTTTATTGGTAGAAATGTTGATTTTGTTATCAGTAAACTAAAACCATACTAAATATTATTGTTATACACATATGTACTTTAAAGGTACTACAATCTGGCGATACCTATATTTTGGAATTGCACAAGGTCCTCTTTTTCTCTGATTGTTAATGACGTCTTTACACTAACTAAATCCATTGGATGTTGGATGAGTATTGATTTAAACTTTAGTCTGAGACACATGATTTTTTTCATTAGTTGTTATTGGCTTTGAACTAGATGTCAGTAACTGCGAGTACTCTCAGATCTGTACTTAGTGTCTTTTTTGTTGCTAGGAATGAGGGATGGATAAATACTGTGCCACGTCCGGTCGTCTGTGCTTTTGTTTGATGTTTTTCTGCTTTGTATAAATCTGATGAGTTAAGTCTTTTTCAACTGATTTTTATAATGTGTTCTTATGTTGTGCAGTCACACCACTGCCCCAGGTAAGGGGAGGATTGAGCGCTCACAAACATGTTTAACCCCGCCACATTCTTTATGTTCCTGTCCCAAGTCAGGAGCCTGACGTTCAGTGGTTGTCGTTGGTTCATATCTGTCATATTTGTTTTTCGTAAATTGTTTTGTTATAAATACGGCCGTTAGTTTTCTCAACTGAATTGTTTCATGTCGGGGCCTTTTATAGCCGACTATACGGTATGGGTTTTTCTCATTGTTAAAGGCCGTACGGTTGCCTATAATTGCCTATAATTGCCTACATCTACTTCATTTGAACTTGGTGGATAGTTGTCTCATTGGCAATCATACCATATCTCCTTATGTTAATAAATATGATAATGTTAGAATTCATTTGTATTATGTTTTATTTATATAAAAAAGGGCATTTGTTGCGTTTAGGGGTAAGACAAAAGCCTGGCTAGCTCGGATTCAGATTAATGTCTCTGGATAGGTTACATGTCGATACATTATTTTTTCGATGCATAATCAATATTTCTGATAGATTGACTCATATAAAGCAATTCTTTAAAATGTAAAACTTCAAATTTACGTTATTATGATAAAGCAAAGAATTGAATAAAAGCCTTTGCATCAAATAAGTTCTAAAAATTTTCCAATTTTCTTTCCAAAATCATGTTCCACTTCTTGTAAGATTATCATTGCATACAATGTCAGTAAGTGTGATGCTTGCAATTTGAATATATAGCAAGAAAACGACAACGATGACATTTTACCTTATTTTCTTCTCTTAAAGTATTTCATAAAAGCTTTTTCGTCAAGTTATTATTGAAAACATTATGACGATCTAGATATACATTTTTTGTAGCGATTCTAAAAATACGTACATGATGGTGGACCACGTGCTCGTATATTTCGGACAGGTGTCTTTTTACACTTCAAACATACACATCGTACAATTAAAATAACAATCACCATTAGAACCATTCCACCTGCTATGGAGGCAATAATTATGGTAACCCTGAAAAATAAAATATCTCTTGAACAGCATTCGTTGGTATTTAGAGGTGAGTGCCTTTTAACACTTATTTCTAAAAATGCATTACCACTTTACCTTGTATAGATACAATTGCAGTGGCATACCTAAAACTACACTAAATGTTATAAATGGGATAAAGTCACATTAAAGAGACTGTTGTCCTTTTCTTTTTTAGCCATGGCGTTGTCAGTTTATTTCCGACTTATGAGTTTGAATGTCCCTTTGGTATCTTTCGCCCCTCTTATAAAGAGAAACGTTATCATTTATATTAACATAGCATTTGTGTGTTGATGCGACGTTTACACAAACATTAAACAGTCAATCAATCAACATGAATAGTTTAGACGAAACAACGGTGTTTTTCTAACACAATTGATAAAAAACGAATTTAACTTAATGCACCACATGTGCATTTCTGAATTTAACTTGTCAACAGTAGCTTCAGGGAATATATTTTTAACTATCCGAGGGAAACGGTTTTTTGATAAATTGTGATCAACAAAGAATTGAACAAGAAAAAAGGAGAGATAATAACAGAAACTAACTTTTTTAATCTTAAAACCTTACTAATATGTTTCAATATCTACAAAATTATCTATTAACATAACACATGTCACTCTTGCTTAATAGAACAACATTTTTTGCATAGCCTTATTAATCATATTTATTTTGTTATTAAAATGTTAGTTTTCAATGTTTTTTCAGTGTAAATCTAATGAAGAAATAAAACACCCTTTGAAAGACTATCCTTCTTCAACATATTCATATGCTTATATCTGTATATTTATTTTGCACGTCACGTAAATAAATTTATCATTGATACAGATTAACGGAAATGAAAGCAACTATAATTCTGTTTCCAAATGAAACGCTTATAATAAAAAAAAAAAAAACGGTTCTTTTTTTATTTTTAAAAGAAACAATTGGAAACGATATTAATGTATATTTTGGTTAAGAACTATATACTACGTGCTATACTTCAGAATTGTACAGTACAACAAAAGATACAACTATTTCAATCTTTAAAAACGGAATACAACCTTTTTATTTGCCTTAGGGAGCTACCATTTGATTTTTATGGGGGGGGGGGGGATTTCACTCTATTCGGTCCTGCCTTTTTTTTTTTTAGTTTATCCTGACTTTTGTTTTACATAAATTGTCATCCTGCCTTTTTTTTTTTTTGCAAATAATCTCATCCTGCCTTTTTTTTACTCAAAACTCCTGTCCTGCCTATTTTTTTCAAATTTCATCCTAGCCCCCCCCCCCCCATAAAAATCAAATGGTACCTCCCTTATATTTTGCAATTTAGTAAAACTGACTACCTTTTTCAAACGATTATGAATATATATAAAATCATGGAAAGGTAGATTTTTACAGTGAAATGAAACAAAAAAAACAAATTTATTTCTTATAAAGCTCGAACTTATGTTAGACGGTAATTAACAAACAAACTCTTGACTGTATAATCACGAAGGTATCTAAATAAAATGATTAAAGTAGTTATTGTCATTGGCATTTCCTTCTTTAAACATGTATAACCTCGTTTGACAAATTGACAAATTTACAAATTCAAATAATCTATGTTACGGAATACAATCACCCTTTAAATTATCAGATAATAACTAGAAAAATGATCGTGACGTATCTTGCAGGCATTATGCCAGAATGCAATTATTGCACCTTGAATGCATGGTTTTGCAAGTTAAATGTATTTTCCGAGTCTGTTAAGTACAATCTTTGTCAGTTATATATCTTAAAACAAATGATAATCATTTATGTTGTTTAAATTCATTATATCATACTGAATACCAGGTTAACCAGTTCCCCAGACGGCCTTTTGTCCAAAGGGCAAATGTGAAAATTAACCGTCTTCCTGTTGCCCGTTGCATTCAAATATGTTCGACTCAATCAACATGGCTAATATGAAACCGTACATTCCATACCTGAAGATGTCATTCAAAGGATATATGCTATAAAATTTATGTCTGATACCATCGTCGCCAGACAATAACAAGCATATGACTGCTTTTGCAAAAATAGGGCATAGGGGTAAGATCAATTTAGCAAATATGTAAAAATCTGTAAAGCGCCTATTGCAATCAAACCTTGAATAAATTCTTTATTTGAGATATAGTAAAAAGAGGGAGAAGATATCCGGGACGGAGATAAAATAAAACTATATAGACAACATGACAAAAAAAGAGAAAAAATGACGAAAACATAAAAAAAAATCAGTCCAACCTCCATGATTTATCCATAGTGCCCAGCGTTGGTGAAAAAATCAGCAAAATCATGTGAAATGACGATCGATTGGTTTTGGCTATTCTTTTTAAGTGATACAGTTCTTCAAATCAATATACATGAAAAAGATAGGCGAAAGATACCAAAGGGACATTCAAACCAAATCGAAAAAAAACTGACAACGCTTGTTGCTACATAGAAATGGAAAGTTCACAATTTTATTTTCAACCGACCCTCCTTCTCAATTTCTAGATGTAAATCAAGATATGAGGCAAACTTAACAGATCTGTAGTATTCTTTATCTCGATTCGATGGGATTGATTCGTTCAACATAGTCACTAAATTTTGAATTATTTACTGAGATAACATTATGTATATAGCAAAAGGAGAAGTTAAATGATACTGCTAACTTTTTTTCTTTCTTCCTAAGAAGTTCCTGCATGAAGTCAGCCTCATATGAATAAAGAACAGGTCCTTGCTTTCATTTTTTTAGCGTTCCTGGTAAAAGTATATCTCGACAAGTGCTTCGGACGAACAAAATTTATGTACTATTATTTAATTATATAATGGAATACTTGTGTTGTTGGGTTGAATTTCGTGTTGTTTTTTTTTTTTTTTTTTCATTTATACGTGAATATTGAAACTTTTATTTGAATGTTTACATAATTTAACAAATGTTTTTACGTCAGAACTGATTATTAGATATGACCGTTTCCTGTTAATTTTGCGCACAAATATCATTGGGCATCGTGTTACTTCCTTAGGAAAATCAGTATTTTCTCACACATTTATGAGATAATTACAAAACCTGTTTTACAAGTACTAAAAGTCAACGGAATTTTTTACGGGCAAACAAATTTTAGAATAGAGAATGGAAACGGGGAATGTGTCAAAGATACAACAGCCCGACCAAAGAGCAGAAAAAACAACCCAAGGCCACCAATGGGTCTTCAAGGCTGCGAGAAAATCCCGCACCGGGAGGAGGGCTTTAGCTTGCACCTAAACAATAATGTATACAAGTTCAGCGAATCGTTGGAATATCCATTGACAATGGATGGCAGTTGAGAATAAGCGACAAGACAACACAGCAGCGACAAAATGGGTGCATTGATTTTCAGGTTTAAGACTTAAAGTGGACTAAAAGTTACTCACAATCTCTATGTTAAAAGTCTTAATTAAATTCCAGAAATTTAATTTACCAGTTATATATGAAAATTTAAGTCATTCTTCTTTCTATTTCAAACGTAAGCTATAGGTATTTCAAGTCTCTCTAAAGAAAAATATATATTTTATCGTTGCTTTGTCGGTAAAAGAGTAGGTAAACGAAGGGTTAAACAAACTTGTGAAATATTTTTTTTTTGTGTTGACATTTTTTAAAGGATCTGAAGTGAACTTTTGTTCATTAATATGATGCTTGTGAATAATTTTAGTCATTTTTGATAATACTGTAATTTCGTTTTTTTTTAAACTACAATCGAATCCAGTAATATCGTTTGTCCGGTTAGTCTGTACATTTAGTTGACATTATATCAATTGAATGGACCAATCGGCCGGCCAACATTGTATAATTTGTACTACGGTTAATTCTGTATTTCGTCGGACTTATATTTACCATCAATTTATATATTAGAATGAGGATTACGATAAGAACGATAAGAAAAATATCAAAAAATCTAAATTATGTATATTTTTATTTATGCAGAATAAAACATTTCTTATCCCTTGATATCTTGAATCTCCAAGAGTTTTCTGAGGTACACAATTTAGTCATCTCTGGTCTTTTCCCATCCGACTGTAAAATCAATGCCTAAAAAGGGCATTCGTTTTGGCTGTGTGAGATACGCAGCTACTTCCGTTTTAACATGTTTAAATTGAGACGTTATATCTTTTGCTCTGTGTAGGAAGTGTTGCACGCTCTCTGCATATTATACAGTAGATACCTTTCAACAACACTTTTGGCGTTTGTATGAGACCTGCTGCAAGGCATAATTTCTGCGCTTATCCAGCACATCTTTTCCAGTGGCAGCGTAAATTTTCAGTTTTTCCTTCCGGTTAACCAACTTTACAGCTCATACCTATTATATTTATTGTTAACTTGCTCTAAATGTAAATGAGATATTTGCCACTGGACTTCAAGCAAAGGCAACAAATCAGTAAATCGATATCTTTAAACGAGTTTTAAACCACAAATGTTTGAAGAAATTGTACATGTGATTATAATTAAATCAGCCCCAACAAAATAACAACCCGTAATCATTTCATTAGATATTGCCTAATGGTGCGTTTGAACTGAAATGGAAAGGTAGATATATTTGTAAATTTTCTTGATTGTAACTGGTCTTCTTCTGTAAAAACATGGGTAAGGTGTACAATTTAATATGTGAATGCACTGGACAATTTGAAAAGAAAATTCATTAAGCTTTAATCCAAATTGGCAGATTAAAACTGCGTGTCAAGCTTGGTCTTTATAGAGAACTACTATACAGCCACTTCGATGTCTCCTGTTTTGAAAGTTTAGTTACTTTTACTTATGTTAAATAAGGATTAAAACTGGGAAACCTGTTAGTTGTTTTTCTACTTTGATATGTGCACAAATAACTTACACGTAATCAACATCTTGTTGAGCCGCTGGAGAGGCTGCTTTTACACCTATACTACCTGAAATAATAGACTGTTGTTAACTAATATTCACGACAGAGTTTTCCTGTAAAATCAAGTATTAACATATATGTGTATATGTTGTGTACAAGTTGTCATGTTGTACAAATTATAATTTGTACAGATTTTTTGTACAAGTTATTAGTGTTTTATGAACCGCTTAACACAAATGGATGATGCAAGCGCACAGTCTTTTGTTTTGTATATTTCTGTCATATTTTCACAACTAATTGATACAGTCTAATACTGAGCATTGGTTCCATTATAAGAACTCAGAAGGACTTTTGATGGATATGATTTTGGTATAAGGAGAAAAATAAAATTAGAATTTAAACAATTCTGGTGTCCTTATTTCCAGTTTGAGGACAAGGAGAATAACACTAAATGTTAGATTGAAGTATATAAATTTGAATTAAAACATTAAACTGATACATTTTAGAAGATAAACCTGTATCACCTGGTGCAAGAAGGTATGTGTCAAAAAACTTATAACTTGTACAAAAACCCTGTACAAATTATAATTTGTACAAACTTACATCTTGTACACAACATATATACTTCAAGTCAGGAAGGAAACCATTCAATATGTTGTCAATGTCTCTGATTGGTTTTTATATTTGATGTAGGGTCTTCCAAATCAGGTCTTTTCTTTATTGTCACTTTATATAACTCGCTGGTGACGTATATGTGATGTATATGAATGCCAAAGATGTTTTGGCTTCTATTGTTGGCTTCTGTTTCGGCGTGCGATTATTTTCCTTTCTTTACTTTTAACCAAAAAACACCTGAGCTATTTCAAAAAGACTGCAACCCAATGCAATAATATCTACCCTCTACTTAGTGTTAAAACGTATGTACCAACCACGTTTGTTCCCACCCACATGATGATTTGTTTATCCTGTACTGTAATATTTCGATCAATTACAATGTTATATTTGTTATGGACAAAAGGAGATGTTGGAATAACGTTAATGAGACAGCAACCAAAAGTTTACCCAAAATAGAAAGTAAAGGGTAAAGGTCATCATGTCTTGCAATTGACGATGAACGAGCACCGGAATCCTATGGAAATTCTCCACTGGCATCGAATTTTCACAAAATTTGAAACGATTAAACTGACACTTGATATCAGTAAATCGGCAATAATATGAAGGACAATTACACTTTGTATTCAAACAATTAAACGCGGGAGTGTATATTTTCGATTTCGGGCTGTCACCAATATAAATATATTCATTTTGAAAATCCTCCTGCTCGTGCCATGTCCTCTCAATCAAATGGTCGTCCCCTAACCTCTCACTCAAAAATATACAGAAACAATCATAAAACTGCTGTATACATACCTAAATGAAATAGAAATAACCATCCGAAAAATACATATATCATATTAGTACATGTGCCAATTATAGTGAATCTTCCATATTGAATCACGACTTCTTTACAAATGTCATAGATTTAAAGTATCTATATATTCGTCCTGCTTTGATATTATCATTTTATATTTTGTGGATATGTATATTTTAATTATAGATTTAAATCTTTAAAAACAGTATTGTCGAAGAACAACTGTATATACGTTTGAACCATATAATGACATAGGTTGAAATAAGTATTTAAACTTTTGAGGCCACGAATTGGTTAACTTTGATGGTCCTTCTGATTAAGATATTTACCGAACACTATTAACAAATTGGTTCACTTATGGTACCATGATCTTATAAAAAGAACTTCATTAGATCTCATTGGGGCTTGTCTAGTTTGGTCTGGTTTCATCTTGATAGACATATAAATGTTTTTTTTTTTACATTTACGTTCGAAGTGAATAAACTACGCAATACCTTCCAGAGTTAAGTCCTTCGTGTCTACTAACGTCCAATCTAATTTTATTTTATTAAAAATTAGTTCACAGTTATGAGGCATACAAAAACTGTCAATATAATTAATGTAAAACATTACCTGATCAGTGATAATTTCCAACAATTAGCATTGAGAACCATTGCCTGAATTTTAGATATATAAATTTACAGCTGCAAGAACTTTCAGACAGAAGGAGATGTTTTGTAATCGGAAAATCCCAGAATCCAGAAAGACGACGTTCCGACATGCACATGCTAACATATACTTTTCCCACACTTTTCGGTGATATAAGTGTCTTTTTTGTGTGTTTTGATAAATTATACATTTTGTGTGTGTGTGTTGTTGTTTTTTGTGTGTGTTTTAATCCATTGACTATTTTCTTTTTCTTTTCTTTTCTATTCTTAGTCTTGATTACAGGACAACATATCCAACCTAGTTATTTCTTTTGCGTACCAGTACACATTATTTTCATGTGAGAATGTTCAAAAATATAAGAAGTCTATTCAGTGTATCTCGAGATAATGTTTGCATAGCGTTTATAATCAGAGAGAAAAGAAACCAAGGAGGCAATCGAAAATCATAAATTTAATAAAAGGGACAACACCATGACCATAAATAAAAACGACGAACAGACAAACAAACAAACATAAATAGCAGACATTACACAAAAAAGATTGTGCAACACGAATCCCAACAAAAACTGGAATGAACTCCGGTGTTACGGAATAGTAAGACATCGTGATGCAAAAGCTTCCTTGTAATCAGTTTAACCCTCAATCAAGGAAATCATGATAGAAAAAGCAAGTCCTATTTGTAATGAGTTTTCTCAACGGTCTTTGTCGTATATTTTACGCTCTTTCAGACGCCGACCGTATTCATCTGTTGATGGGAGCATGAGTTAATTTCTCGGTACATTTTGTTTTTATCAAAAACAAACTATCTGTTCAATGGTAGTTTGATTTTGAGGGCGGCTTGACAGATTTTGGATATTCTGGTTTACATTCAGTTGGAAATATAATTCTAGCCTCATCACACATGAAAATAAATACTATGGCCCAAAATATTTTTGCCTCGCTTCTCTCGCCAACTAACAAAGGTATACAATATCTATAGACTTCCTCCGAGTGCTCTTTTTGTTTGAAGTTGTATGTTTATCTGTAGCATAGAGAAACGATTAATTAGGGGGTCGACCATTTGATTCCCAGAGGCTAGAAATTTTGTGTGCCTTTTTGGATGGTCACAAAATAATATTCTAGCACTGATCTGAGTGAAGATAAATAATTTGGCCGCCTTTTTGTTTAAAAATATGTACAAATTTGCAAGCCCCCTTTTAGAATTAAATGGTCGTCCCAAGCATATAGGAGCAATACATTATGTTTTAAATCTATGTTGTTTTAATGTTTCAATGAGGAGGTGGTATGATAAGAACCCCTTATTGGCCCATGGATTGATAAAAAATTAAAAAAATATTCAATACTTTCAAAACTTATTAGTTCTACTTAAATGTATATAGTGACATGATCTGAACACTTCAGTTGAGAATAGTGAATCATGGCGTCGCTATATGAAACTGGGGTATTTTACCTCTATTTTCCATTTATTTCAAATTTTTTTTTTTTTTTTTTTGGTACAAAAAGTTATGAGCCAAGGCTTTCAGTTTTCAGAAAAATTCAAATGATACGATTTTTTGTTCTATGGTGATGTTCCTTTGGCCCCTAGTACGGTGTGTTTATTTTCCAACGCGCTCGCTAAGAAAGTGTTCTTAGTTTCAATGAACACAATCTATGTAGGTAAATGATTAAGTTAAGGATTTCCATTGGATATGTCCTGATTGATACTTAAGTCTGGGATAACATGATTTATTTATTTGTTGTCACTGTCATTCAACTAGCTTTTGATAGCTGCGAGCACTCTTAGATCGATACTTTTGTATTTTTGTCTTAATGTTAGTTGGTTATTGTTGAGTTTTTGTTTTTGTTTGGGGGGGGGGGGGGGGTTACTGTGAATCAAGCCATTTCTAAATGATTTTTGTTCCTATGTTATACTGTTGTTCCAGGTTAGGGGAGGGTTAAGCACTCACGCAACTTTTTAAGCCCGACAAATATTTTATGTGCCTGTCCCAAGTGAGGAGCCTGTTATTCATTGGTTTTCGTTGGTTGCTGTATGTTATATTTGTTTGTCGCTTATTATTTTGTTAAAAATCAGGCCGTTTTTTGTTTTGTTTGAATAGTTTCTCATTTTTTTATATCAGGGACATGAATAACTGACTATTCGGTATGGATTTTGCTCATTGCTGAAGGCTTTATGGTGACCTATATAATTGCTTAAACCTACGTTATTTGAACTCTGTTGGATAGTTGTCTCAATGTTAGTCATAACACATCTCCTTATTGTGTATTTATCCCAAAAGATATTGTGCCCTAATAAAACACTTTGTATCAAACATATCGAAGCAAAATTTAGCTTTGGGTAAGTCATTAGCTAATAACTAAATACTAATGTCAATTCAAATCCAAAATAAGGCTATTTTGGTAGTTTTTGCAGTTTTGTATGAAATACAACATGTTTGAAAATACTTAAAAAAAATACTGGTATATGAAAGACTAAGGTCCTGATTACATCTGAAGGATATTGTTTGATCGATTTATAATACTTTTTAATTTAGAATTTAATTGGCAACAAAAAAGTGGTCTGATCACAACTCCTCCTTTTGAAAGAAATTTCTTTTCTAAACACATTACTTTGTTCATGAAATTTAGATTCATACCAACCCTCAACTCCAAACTAAATAAGAAAGGTTAGTGACTTATGTGCATTTTGTTATTCTGTTGTTCGAGATAAAATACTCAAATACGAAAAGGGGGGGGGGCATTGTTTAAATTAACTATGCACATGTTTATATGTTTGATGGTTGACTCAAGTCAGGAAGCTCTCCAATAGTTATTTTTTGCTATATTTTTAATTTTAGGGAATTTTGTGTTGCTGTAGTCTCTGTAAAATTTATTCATAAATGTTGTAGAACAGGACCAATATTACATACAATACATGTACATTGTCGGAAAATATATGACTTGTTTGTACGAGCTTTAGAAACAGGACGAAAAGCGAGGCTCGCCGAGCATTGCTCCTGTTTCGTAGCGAGTATATTGTTTTTATCCTGCAAGTTACACGCGGCACTTGAAGCTTTAGTTGTTGAAATCCAAATCATTGTCTCTAATTTGTCAAAGATATCGACATAGTTTAAACGCGGACCGCGAAAAGGACCCTAAAATGAACTGTTACGTAAAACAAAATATCCACATTATCCCTTGCTGAACATGGAGGTGGGGAACAGGAGACTTTATTTGCACAAGTAAAAGAAAGTAAAAATTTATTTGTTTACCTGTTATTTGTACAATTGTTGGCTTATTGCAGGATAACTAGTTATCAAAGGTACCAGGCTTATAATTTAATACGCCAGACGCGCGTTTTAAGACTCATCAGTGACGCTCAGATCAAAATAGTTAGAAAGCCAAACAAGTACAAAGTTGAAGAGCATTTTTGACCCAAAATTCCAAAAAAGTTGTGCCAAATACGGCTAAGGTTATCTATGCCTGGGATAAGAAAAACCTTAGTATTTCGAATAATTCATACTTTTGCAAACAGTAAATTTGTAAAAATGACCATATAATTGATATTCCTGTCAACACCGAAGTGCTAACTACTGGGCTGGTGATACCCTCGTGGACGAAACGTCCACCAGCAGTGGAGTCTACCCAGTGTTGTAAATAGGTATCAAAGTTACCAGGCTTATAATTTAATACGCCATACGCGCGTTTCGTCTACATAAGACTCTTCAGTGACGCTCAGATCAAAATAGTTAGAAAGCCAAACAAGTACAAAATTGAAGAGCATTTATGACCCAAAGTTCCAAAAAGTTGTGCCAAATACGGCTAAGGTTATCTATGCCTGGGATAAGAAAATCCTTAGTATTTCGAATAATTCATACTTTTGCAAACAGTGAATTCATAAAAATGACCATATAATTGATATTCATGTCAACACCGAAGTGCTAAATGTAATTATATGCACGATTACAATTATTTGAATTAGAAAAAAAATGGCAGCTATCTGTCTCACGCTAAATAAGATTGTGACCAGGTTTGATCCAGATCAAAACGGAGAATCCATATAAAAGTAATAGAAAAATTCATGGCTTAAAATGAAATATATATCGAAAAGGATGTGCAAGTTATTCTCGCAAAAAGCTTTTAAAGGCAAAACAACGTATACAAGAGTGTATGAACGGTGTTAATTGTCTGCAAAGTTTCACCCTTCCAGATAAAACCTGCCTGGAAATAAGCCGTATGGCTTTCAGGGGCAATCTTGATTAGGTTTCAACAATTGTTTTAAGATTTTATGATTTAAGTATGTTTACATGTCTGCTATTGTTTTATACTACTTTTGTAATGTTTTATGTTGATATTTGATCAAATAAATCTGCCTGATTTTTGTAAGTACAAAATTTAATGTAAATTGATTAGGTTTGTTTGCATTTTTTGTATTAGAATAAATTATATTCTTATCTCAAATATTTATTGTTGTATTTTTTTCTCCATCGAAGAAGATTAGGTTTTGGGAGTTGATGTGTCAAAATCTTTTTCTTCTTGGGACTACGGGGTCAAATGTTTAAAGAGCTACTAAGAAATCCGACGGAGATACGATTTTGTGACCAAAAACAATTAAAACAATCTGTTTTGGAATTGCCCGAATGTATTCATAACTCTTGTTGTTGTTGTTCAATTCATCGTATTTTTAAAGGTGGGGTGGTGCAATGAGAACTTGGATTTTGCCGTATTTACAAATGTGTCTGTAACAGCATCTTCTCTTTACAGTAAAACTATTTTACTGGGGAAAAACAGGTTACTAAAATGAGTATGATTGTGTTGCTGTCTCCTTGACGCTTTGAATAAAATAAAGCTCGTTGTTCGTTCATGCATATCTTTTTACATGTTTTAATTTTTTTGTATGCACTTTCATACCCTGTGGTAATTTTTCTGACCATTGTTTCTTGCCATAACCTCAAGAAAAGGTACGAACCTCAAGAAGAAATACGGTTTATTCATACATAATTCTATGAGCACTTGTTTTTGTAATTCTCCTCGTTTTTATTAGCAAACATGTTACTAAGGGTTAGTTGCGCTATTCTTATTACTCCGTTTTCCGTCGACGCCTGTCGTCCATCAACTTGTACATAGACCTACTCCACTGAAACTACTTGGCCAATGTGGACCAAACATTGCAGCCATCATCATTGGCGTATCTAGTTTAAACATTTTTCCCGATAACCCCGCCTGCCAACTAACATGATGGTTTAAATAGAACATAGGGATAAAATTCTAGTTTTGTCAATATACTTGAAAACGAACATATATAGATAAATTCTGACCGGTGAAAATGTTCAAAATGTTGACATTAATCTACTGTCTATTCACATTAAGACTGTTAGAATTAAACTCATCATAGATCAAGATTGAAATTTTGTACACCAGAAGCGTGTTTCGTCTACAGTGACGCTCGAATAAAAAAGGTAAAAAGGCCAAATAAAGTACGAAGTTGAAGAGCATAAGACTTCTTATAAGTGTTAGTGGCCTTACATGACGACTTTTACATATTTTTTTTGGCGTTTTTTGCCTATTCTCATGAAAACTATAATAGATATAAATCCTATGGACATGTATTTTTGTTGTAATATTTTTTCCTAAACTAATTTTAATTTATGTATTAATAAATTCAATCAATAATGTGTTGCATATCAATAACAGAAAGATGATTTCATTGATTGATTATTGGGTGGAAAGATGATTTGAGTTTGTCTTAAATAAAGATGAGATGACCTGGTTCAGGTTGATAAAAATTTGAGAAAAAAGAACTTGTAAATTGCATTTCGAAACAGCCTTGTACTGAACAAAACGATACTACAGAAATACTTGCTTCATACAGACAGCTTTTCTATGGAAAATAATGGGTAGAAACAGCCTAATTGCATTTATGTAACTTTCTTTAAAAATGAATAAAGCGAGGTGTAGGGTCAACGTCACTGAAAGAGAAACCCTTCAACAATTAAATACCAAAAGACTGCTAGAGTTGAGCATAAAGTAGTTTAACCCCGCCAAATGAGGAACCTTGCAAAAGTATCTTAATGTGTTTACCTATTTGGAGAATTGTTTGTTCATAGCAGATCTCTGATCGTCTTTATGAAATTCATTCACAATTTTTATATAATGTCCGGACGATTTAGAGCTTGACATATTGTATTGAGACATGTCTAGTGTCTAGTGACTATGCAGCCCTTCAACTATATTTTGTTATTCTTGTTTTGGGACTGCTGTCTCATTGACGTTTACTCTAAAGCCCCTTCATTGATTATCGTAATTTATACCAAAAGTCTAAATATTATTTTCTAAATGGAAGCAACTATTCTTTCATAAATAGGTACAGTATTTTAAATAAAGATAATTGTAGCTATTTATCTATATTTAGATATTTATTCAAATGAATTTGAGTTTTTCTTACATAAACTGTGTCTACATATAGTTTTATACTTATCAGTGACGATAACAAAAGATCATATAGATAAATGACAACAATGGGTACTAGTACTGTACTCACTGTAAATTTTATTTTATGATTTGATGTCGTAAATAGACGCTCCTCCATCGCTTACGTTACAAACTAACAGCTGATGAGTTTCTTGGCAATATGAAATACCGCTTGGACCTTTAAGATTGTTTGATTTGTCCAGAATAACACGATGTTGTTGTCCGTCGCTAGATACTACTATAACCTGATCATAGTCTGGTAGTACAATAAACACGTTACCATGGTTATCTATATCTAAAGAAATAGAAAACTGACTCCGAAAACATGTGGGTCTTTTCAAACGAATGTCATGAAATGTCCATAATTTATTACCAGAGTGGTCAATAACATGGAGAGTTTCTGTGTCAGTGTTAATATAATAAATATTATCATTGCGTACTGCTACGTTAAATACCACGCTAATTTGTAAAGGAATACATTTTGAAACCGTTCCATCCAAATCAACAATCCTTATTTCGCCATAACTTACGATGTATAGTTTTCCATTTCCATAGCATATTCCCCATTTAGCTTTGCCAGAGTCAGTATTAGTCCTTTTGACCTCTTTGGTATCGATATCCACTATCATAACCCCTTTCGTGACACCAACAGCTATCTTACTTCTACCAACAGGCGTAAGATCAAATACGTCTTCGAGTTTAAAGTCAACGCTGAAACTCCCGTCTTCATTGTGAACTATAAGTCTTCGATTTTCATTGTCTACAAGCACAACCTTCTTCGAAGAAAGAAAAGCACAAGCAGTCAATGACATTGTCTTACTCAAATAATTGTTTATATTTAATGAATGGTGAAGCTGCAGATTAATCTTATCGATTGAGTCATGTTTCTGAACGTTGAGTTGTGCTTGTTTCTTTGAAGGGTCTATGAACGTAACAGTTTCAGAACTTTTTCGGACGACAACATCACCGAAGGATTTGAGGTCTAAAAGTAAAGACTTTTCATCATCATTCGTCTTTAATTCTAAACTCAACTTTGTTTGTTTCAATGAGTTGGTTCCAACTTCTTGTTTTTGTTTATAAAGTATATTTCCTATTTGTCGTATTCCAATGAAGACTTGTTTCTCAGAGGCATACATCTTCATGTTAGAAATACGATTGTGTAGCGCTTTTATGTCGTCTCTTTTGACCTTAAAAGCAGAAAAATACTCGTTCACATTTTTAGTGCAATTGTTATATTTCATCTCAAGATCTCTTAGGATATTTTCCTGTAATTGGTCCAAGTGATTGTTTATTTTCCGACGAATATTATAAACTTCATCTCGGATATTTTGTTCTTGTTGTTTCAAATCAGTATTAGATTTGTCTTCATCCTCGTTATATTCAGCGAAGTTTTGACTTGTGCTTTGAATCTCGTTTTCAAGATCTGTTAGTGCAGTAGAAGTTTTAGATCCTTTTGCAACTTCGGACAGCTTAGATATTTTGCATTTACTATGATGCTCTTGAAAACAGTTTAGGCAAAGTATTGAGTCATGTTGTGAACAGAAAAATTCAAATGGCTCTTTGTGATGCTCACAGTTTTCATCGAAAAACAACTCGGCACTTTTCAAGTAGTCAGTAATTGATATCAAGTGGTGGCATCGTAGTATTTTTGTCCTTTTATGATCTTTGACACATTCGTCACAGAAGCCCTCTTCACAGTCATTACACCATAAATGGGCAGACTTTGATAAACCATCATATCCACAAGGTTCACAATTAACTGTTGTACCCTCTGCCATACTATATCTACAGTAGTACAAAAAAAATGTTTATCTTATAAAACCTTATAATAAGACAATATTTCCCTGCCTTAATTTGGCCTTAGAATTGGACTTTGTAATACTTTATCTAAACACCAATATTTAAAATCTAAAATATGAAAATTTAGATAAAAATTACATTTTATAGGTCTACTGTTTTCTTTTGGACATTGTTGACAGATTCAGACGTATGATAATTTTCCAGTGTGTAGCTATATTTCCTGTTTAAATGACCGCCTCGGTGGTCTCGTGGTAGCGTGTTCGCCTCGAGTGCGGGAGTTCGAAGGTTCGAACCCCGACCCGGTCAAACCAAAGACTTTAGAATTGGTATTTGCTGCTTCTCCACTAAGCAAGCGGCATTAAGGAGTAAGAGCAAAGACTGATCTGCTCGGAGTCAGAATAATGTGTACGGGTAAGGTGATATGTCTTCCTGCGGAATGTTACTTTGTGAACTAGCACGTTAAAAATCCGACTCAGCGTGTCGGTCTAGTACAAAGCAGGGTTATTATTCATATAACATTAAAATGCTCTCGTCTTGGATATGCATATGGATTTGCCGATGGACGTTAAACAGCCAATCATCAATCATCAGCATCATCCTGTTTAAATGAAGTTTAAGGTCCGTTAGTATTGGACAAACATTTGCCACACTCTTCAACCAAAGTTAATTTGATATATAAAAAAAAATATGTTTAGTATGAGATACACATTCTAACAAAAAAAAATACCAATGTCGACTGAATCAAAACCTATCAAAATTAAGCCAAAAATAAGTCAAAACTATGATTTTTCATCATCAGATTGCACAAATATGCATATCGCCAGCGCTATGACATCAATACTGTTGTAATGTGTCAGAGCTTGTTGATTTTGTATTTGTCAGATTTTTTATCGAATGATTACCGTTGTAACTAACGTAAAATTCAGTGTAACTTTAGGGCCAAGATTGACCCTTCGTGAACCAAATCATTGCAAGGGTGTATGTGTTTTCTCTCATTAAAGATAAATTCATGCATGTGTTTAATATTAAATAATGTCGTCACACATTCTAACATGTACGGGTTGGAAGATTTTATAAAACAAGAACATAAACAGTAAATGAAGCGTTAAATCATAATATATAAATTTGGTGCGTCCAAAAAGTGCTTTTCTGATTAACCTACACCACTGACCAGGAACGCTTAATCCAAAACATTTTATGTCACCAGACACTTTAGTAAGGAAAGAATGGACGGTTAGATCAGAATTGTTTTACTACGACTACTACAACCATCTGTTTGCAATGGCTTCGAATATTTAATTTTTAATGAGTTTACAAAAAAACAGATGATAACCCATTAGGCCGTCATAAATTTAATGTCACGATGGGCAACAATATGTTAGTAAAATTACAATTACAGCGTTAAGTCTGTTTAGTTTAGAGGTAAATTAGTACAATTAATAAGAATGAAATAAATACTTTGCTTCACGTATCCTTTCATACAAAATACTCAATTAAATAGGGGACACATTCAAATGTATCATCAGAGCTCCCTTCTCTCAATCGGGAACGGGATATGGGGTGGATGTAAATGAGAAAATAATCCTAGGTTAAAGATATATGCAAGGATTGTTATAATGTAATTATTTGTGATAAGATCATGAATTATACATGTATAACCATGACATAATTCACCCTAGAAATATCTTTTTCTTTACTTTACTTTACTACCTATCAGCTTGATGAAATTTTCATCACGTGTGTGAAAAGGTATAGTTTCATTATAAAGGGATTTAGAATCGGATATGAGATTAATCAAGTTGCTTTCTTTAAAAAAAGAACAGCAATACGTGAACCTAAGACCGCGGACTGGTCACCAAAAGATTGTTGATGAATTTTTGTTTGCTTTTGAACTGAAATAGTTGACTGTGAATAGAAGAATATAATGATGATGTTAAAACACCTTTATTAGAAATATGTTATTGTGTGTAGATTCTTGCAAAAGTCAGTTGAAATTAATGTTGGGTAGTTGTGAATAGAAAAGTGTATATATATATACAGCTACTATTTGAATACTAGTATACATTTTAAAGCTCGCCTATTCTATTTACTACTTGGGAATGTACATCATTTTTTCATAACCTTTTTTGCAAATCGCAGTTTCTACAAACCGGATGTCTAATGCAAATTGCACAAACCAATCGCAATATAAATTTTAGCACTCTGTTTGCTTTATAATCTGGATGCATTTATTTTATCTATCATATCTTTATATTTTGTTTCAGATGTTGTACAGCTAAAATTAAAGTCCAATTTTCATAAAACATCTCAAAAAAATTTAAGGTTTTCCTGATATTATCTAAATCAATCCAAATATTCTACAAGGAAACTTGGTTTTAAAGAATATCTTATTTTCAGAAGTTTAATGAATACCTGAATATACTCTCAAAAGAACCAATTTAAATAGAAAGATATGTAGACATAAAACGATACCAGGATTAAAATGTTGTACGCCAGACCCAAGTAAATTCTACAAAGAATCATCAGTGACTCTCGAATAAAAAGTTTAAAAGGCCAAATAAAGTACAAAGTTAAGTAATCTAGTATTCCTTGGGGAAAAAATCCTTAGCATTTCGAAAATATCAAAGTTTATAATAGGACAGTGATTCAAAGAAGAAGAAAAAAAGAGAAACAGCTAGAGGTCAGATTGCCATAAGTAATGATGACCGTGCTTGAAAGTCACATGTCAAGCTCTTACTGCCGTGTCCTTAATTTAGATAAGAAGAGCGAAAATTTGCATTCACAAGTGAAATTATATTTATCGCGGCATGCACGTGGTATTTTTGCCCAAGAAATAGTAAATAGAAAGGATAAGCACTGATACTCTGGATAAGAATACGCATTTGCGTAATCACATATATTAATCTAATAGTTGAATTCGGATGTCAAACTACCTACCTCAAGTGTTTTGACTACGGATTCATTGACATTTTATCCGGCATTTTTGTGATAGTGTGCTTGTGAACAGGGTGATGTATAATGTGAACGAACCATGAAGTGTAGCAAATCTGATCAAAACAATGAATACAATTTTCAAAATCGTACCATAGTACAAATATTTAGATGCTATAAGGTTGAACTATTTTAAAAAACAAAAAACAAACAAACAAAAATACTCGAACTGAAATTGCTAGTGAACTTTTTCCGAAAATTTAGAATATAATATCATTAAACACAAACGTCGATTATTTACTGATGGACAATGTATTTATCAAATGAATCTCTTTTTAAAGTCTAACATTCGACTATATGAATATATTGCTATACAAAAAATAGCGAGACTTATAAATCCATACTAAAACAGTATATAATAATTAACATTATGATAGTAATTAATTTTGTTATGATAATGGTAAAATAATAATTACGTTTTTTGTGAGATGCATGGATTTAAGTCAATTGAAACCACGCAAGTATTTTTTCATTCACGACCGTTTAAAATTTAGATATTTAGCTAGCTTTGGGCACGCATCCCTGCTCATTGGTGCTCATACATTACATATAATTTTCATAAATGTAATGAACTGTTCAAATCTGTAAGACATAATGAACGTATGTAACGTATATATTACAATTTTAATTATATTCTATTAATAATAAATGCAGTCTCAGTTTAAATTTAACAATGAATATTCTCTTAGTCTGGTAGTATCTATTGATGAAATTGGATGTTTTTTACAGCAAAAAACCTTTTGTTTGATTATCTTTGTGCCTTTCGACCACTGTGTTTCCGACCTTAGATAAATATTTTTAACAGAAATGTCGTTTTCTTAATTTTCTTCATGCTTTCCGACATTATCAAATGATAAACGTTCATAAATAATCAGTTTATTCTGGATCATTATATATCAGTAAACTATTCCCAGGTTTCTAGTCACAATGCATATTAAATACTACACACAGAACGCGTAGAGGGACCGTCTCAAAGCATAAATTATATAATTGCGTTTTTATCATTATACTTGATATTTAATAAACATTCACTTTATTAAAAACACATATGTTTTGTCAAAAGGCAAATAGGTTCAAACATATAAATGATTTTTTAAATGCAACCTAATCTTTATTGTGTTACTTTCCAATCTACCTATGAACTTTGATTATTGAAATATTCAATGTAGATTATCCATAGAGTAAACTGGTCCGCCATTCAATCTAAACTCCGCACCGAAGTGTAGCGATAAGTGAACACAACAGGGGTCCAGTTTATCCATAGAGGGACCGTATCAAAGACATAAATAACTCCTGTATAAATGATCAAAAATTTTCGAGACGTTCCGAGAATCTTGATTCCGAGGATATCGAGTGGCCCATAAACACTTCCAAAACTCGACAATATATACGCGTGAACCCCTCAGGGGGTTCACGCAAAAAAGTAGATGTGTTATTAAGGATGTTCGCTGCTCTTGTTATTGAATTTTTGCCAGATATTCGGAATCCTCTGGTTTTATCCATGTAGTGCCGTAAAACATTTTGCCCGCTAACCCTTACTTTTCTTTTCATAATTTTATTACATATAGTTTAAAAAGCCATATTTGAAAATTTTATAAAATCCTACTTATTTTTTTTATTAGTTTTTGAAAGAAAAAAAGGTACCAGTTTTAAATGTAGGGAAAATCCAGAGTGAATCATTTCCTGCCAAATTTTCAAAGGCTTATATCTGAAAACAAGCACACGGACCTTTTATTTTTCTTAAGCTTTTTTATCTCTTTTATTTGTATTCTATCAATTTTAACAGTCTTTTAAAAAACTTGTTATTTTGAATCAGAGTAGCGAACATCCTTAAGTGGGCCTTTAGTCGTAACTAGGGAGTATGTTAGAAAAATCAACAAATATATATTTATAGATATGAAATATGTTTAAATATATTTAGATTTGTTTATGTGTTGCCAAATGTTTGAAGCCAAGATTTTCTATGTCAACAAATATTTCAATAACAAATGACG